GTTCTATAATTTTTATTATAGCATCTTAATTTTCTTGAAATAAAATTTAAGTTTACAAAAAATCTCTTTTTTATATACACATTCATTTGTCAAAAATACAAAAACAATAAAAAATATATTTTTATATCTTGTTTAGAGGTTTTTAAAATTCGGGTCATCTATTACCCCACGATAGTAGTTATGTGGGTGTAAATACACGATAGTAGCTCAGGGTTATTATCACCGTAATGATTACCTTTTCTGCATCTGGTAAAGTAACAGATCCGATGCTTATTTGTCCGTACACAAGATTTCCGACTTCTATATTTATTCAGTGCCTTCTTCTTGGCGAATTGGACATAGTGATAATGGTTGGATGAAAGTTGAGTTATTTTACTTCTTCTTCTTCAAGTGCCATATTCGTTCCGAAGGTTGGCAATCATCAGGGCTACACGTATTTTCGAAACTGCTGACCGAAACAATTCGTTGTTGCTACAGCTATACCATTCCCGTAGATTCTTTAAACAGGAGTTTCGTCTTCTTCCTATGGACCTTTTTCCTGCTATTTTCCCTTGCATAATTATTCGAAGCAGTTCATATCTTTCGCCTCTTGTAATGTGTCCCAAGTATTGCAGTTTTCGTTTTTTTGATCGTAAATATGACTTCCTTTTCTTTATTCATACTTTTCAATACCTCGACATTTGTGACTCTCTCGGTCCATGATATTCTCAGGACTCTGCGATACATCCACAGTTCAAATGCCGCTAATTTTTTGGTATCAATATTTTTCAACGTCCATGACTCTATTCCGTATATTCCGTTTTAACACTCTCTTCATTTTAGTGAATATGGATCTGGCTTTTTCTATTCTTACTTTGATTTCTGCTGAGCTATTGTTGTCTTCATTTATAAAAGTGCCTAAATATTTGTATTTGCTAACTCGATCGATAATTTCATTGTGTAAATATAAATTTTGGACATTTTGTGTTTATTTAGATATTACCATAAATTTAGTTTTCTTTATGTTCAAATATAGTCCGTATTCTTCGCTGCAGTCTGCTATCTTATTCACTAATGTCTGTAGCTCTTCAAGTGTTTCTGCGATCAGAACGGTATCGTCGGCAAATCTCAGATTGTTTAATGTAACACTATTTATTTTAATACCCACGTATTCCTCATAGAGTGTTCTATTCATTATGTCTTCGGAATAGAGATTAAACAGGGTTGGTGACAGTATAGATAGATATCTACTTATCGTTTTAATAATATGATATACCTATGCCAATTACTGGTATTCAACTGGCCAATAAAGGAAAGCTAGTGGCTAATCTTTCAAAAGTGGCGAAAATATATTCTAAAATCATTTTTTAATAAACTGAAGAAACGAAAAAATAATATTACGGGATCTGTAAGTGAAATTTTATTAAAAAAAAATAAACTGCGTCCACCTTCTTAAATGGCCAATATCTGTATAGTTTATCCAATGTCTTTGTTATTTTGAATGTTGTTGAATTTATTTCCTATCGTTTTAAATTTTTGTGATAATCCTTTTTCAGTCTAACTTGTTCTGTTCCATTTGGTTTCAAACAAGAAATGCTAATTATTTTTTAACCTTCCACGGCTTGCGCTTATAATTTAGACACTGCGTCTGGCGAATTTTTGTCAAAACTTTTGGCTTAAATTTATTCTACTACCTTGCTATAAAAAATAGCAAAGGTATCTCCAACATTTAATGGAAATTAATAAGAATGGCGGTACCGCATATGTATAAAAGAAATAAAGTAATAAAAATGTAACATTTATATATTTATTATGTCTGCCTCTAGTAATAAAAAATAACAAAACTTCTAAATTTAAAAATCATTCTTTAATTATAACATTTGGTTTAAAATCTCAACTTAAATTCTAAAATGCATAGCTTCTGCTGATTGCATTTTGGCTTTTAGTATTTTTTTATCTACTTATTAAACTCCACAAGCAAACCGTTGTGTGCTCAAAAATTTTACTGTTTAGTTTGCGTCTCTCTTTTTAAGTCAATTACCGCTCGTTCTACCGCCTTTTCCCATTTATCTCTCTTTCCGGGTTGTTTCTTCCTATTAAATCGCAGAGTGATGGTAACCGTATGTGAGAACTAATTTATCACTAATTGCAATCTTAACGAGCTTCATTTTTGAGAGATGGCTTTTTCTAGCATTTGTAAGAATTATAGCTGATTCGTTTGCACAGCCATTATTATCTTCTCGAGTCACTCGTTAAATAATTGTCACTTTTTTCATTACTTTCGCACCAGTTTTCAGTTAATAGTTAGAGCAATGAATTTAGAGCCAAAATTTATATACGATGCATTTACAGTCAATCAGCAAAAAAAAAAATTGATATAGTAAAATGAAACCTTGAAGGTCTTATATAAATCTAACATTTAATTATTGCTTGGACGTTTTGGATATTTGTCATTTTCTATAAGCTGTTTAATTATTTAACATTACGCAGTACCCAATTATATTTTATATCTACACTTAGTGGTTTAAACTAAGCAGAGAATACAATATATAGAACTTTGTAAGGAAAAGTATTAACCCTTCATTAGTCGGGCATAGGTTCAGTGGACCTAGACCCCAGTTTTTTGCCTGTAATTTAAAATAAAATTAATATATCATTGAGCCTAAATGACATCTAATGATGATCAGTCGTCTTTTACCTGCCGAAGTAACATTTTAATAACCGCCGAGATTTTCCGGAAATTTGCGAACAAATTCGACCGTACACAGAATAGGTCACAAGGATCTACAGACCGAGAATTTGGCATCCAAATTCCACTGATTCGCGCAATCGTACTTGTAAGTTCGTATAGTCGGCTGGAGTTACAATTTGCCAAATTTAAATGTAATCGTTTCTACTCATTCATATTAATATTATAATGTATAATATATTAAAGTTTTTAATATTGGTAATATTATTAAAGCTTTTAATACTATTTTTTAATATTAATATTAATATTAAGTAATTAAATATTGCGCCTTGCTTAAAAAAAGTACGAGATAAATAACTCGTTTTTTACATGAAAGTGCAATTTTCTTGCAAATGCCTTGAGAGGGGAAATTTCCAATATAACACCAACCAAAAGACAAAAATATTAACTTAGGTACATGCAATCATTATCACTGCTTAGCGTATTTTCATGGAAATCAACCGCTGTGCTGACTAGTATTTTTTTTTTTAATTGTGATGAATAAATAAAGTATATATTAAATAAAGGGTATTTTAAATAAATTTGTAATATTTTATGCGAAAAGAAGAAAAGACTCAGTTCCGAGTCGTGAGCGTATTCGTTATATTTTCTTTAATTGTGTTAAGCTAGTCGGATGTAAGTCGTTATAATTATTCAAAAAAATGAATTTACAATATTTTTTATTAAATCAAATGAGAAATGTTATAGCAAATTAAGAACTAAGGAAAAAAAACAAACTTTCATTTCCTAAATAGCAAATTGTTTCTGAACAGTTAAGATTAACTTCCAAATAAAATTTGGATAATATTGTAAAGGCTTTTATATACTGAAATTAAATTAAAAAAGAACCTGAAAAAAGTGGAAAAATAATAAAAAATTCCCAAATTTAAATATATCTCGAAAACAAAATACGATCTGGAAAAAGAATACAGGAAATGTTTAATTTTTTTGAGTTCTTCGATTGTGTAGTACCTTCAATTTCAGTTTTTTTCAACAATACTCGAGTATTCCGATTAAGTACTCTCAGCCTTATAAAAATTTCCAAGAAATTAATATCGGATGAAGTTTCAACAAGCGAAATGAAAATCCTAATATTAAAACAGCATTATGACCAGGTACAATATCTGACTGTTATGCAAATTAGTAGGTAATTAGAATTAGAAAGTCAGTATGGGCAAAACCAGCTTATTCAAATTATAGGTACCTACCTTTAGTCTTGTATTGAAGGATTTTAATTTATTACCCTTAGCATACGTAAAGATATAAAAAACGAGTTTATCTCGTACTTTTTTTAAGTAAGACGCAATATTTAATTACTTACTAATATTCTTAATATTAAAAAATAGTATTAAAAGCTTTAATAATATTACCAATATTAAAAACTTTAATATATTATACATTATAATATTAATATGAATGAGTAGAAACGATTACATTTAAATTTGGCAAATTGTAACTCCAGCCGACTATACGAACTTACAAGTACGATTGCGCGAATCAGTGGAATTTGGATGCCAAATTCTCGGTCTGTAGATCCTTGTGAATAGGTCCGTCGGAGCTAGCCCGCTCAACCACATCAGTGCTATTTGGTGCGTCTGCTGTGGCGTATGAGAGTTATATACTAGTGCTTATTGTCTTTTACTGACTTTGAATAGTGTGTTTTGTGAATAATCGACCTTACTTATTTTGTGACAATTACGTAAAAAAGTATTTTATCATAATTTGGCGACACTTTTGAGAAAATGAGTAATCGTATTTACAAACTTGATAATCCGGCAGACGTAGAAGAGCTTTATCGTCTTCTTTTCGAAGAAGGTGAATATGACACAAATACTTATAATACTAATAAATGTAATACTAATTTAATACCAAATGTAATACTAATGTGATTATTTGGTGGTAGAATTTCCTCATTTTCTTCAACAATTTCTACTTCATTATTCTTAACAATTTCTAATGCACTACTCTCCCACGGACGCCACAGTTTTATAAACTTAATATTTTTCTAATAGCGAAAATTGGTCTATCTCTTTAAATTTCTCATTTTCTGTAACCGGGATATACAAAATCGTGAATAACTCATTCAAACTCTAATAATTGAGAATGTCTCAGACAACTCTCCTAACGTAAACCGCCGTAATTGATACAATACGCAGAGGAACGTCCAGTAGCGAAATGTAGTGAGTCAACTTCACGATGAAATGGGTACCCATGCTCATGATGGGTTATTAATTGTTATACTATGCTGTACTGAATCATACTGTATATATTATTAATAAAAATAAAGACTTACACTTCGATCATGGTAGTTGCTGACGGTGTTATGGAAAAATAATCCAGCAATTAACGCCGCAATGTTGGCAGTATAACTAGCTACAAATATCACTGAGAATCCTCCCCAAACGTTGATTAGGAACTTATTGGGCCAACTTTTCGGTGCCTTAAATGCTACTAGATGGCCACATAGTAGACCCCACATCACCCAAAGCGCCGAAGACATGCTGAAGTTTTTGGACCGTTGTCTGCCCCATGGATTCAGTCCGAACGGACTGAGCCACTCGTAAATCGCTACTGCTATGGCGGTGATGTTGAGACCTGCAAGTAAAAACATAATTAATACTGATAAGGGAGATTAGTATTAGCCTTAACTAGGCAATATAATATGTTATATATAGGCAATAGAATATATAATATTTCAAATTTTTTATTTGACAATCAATAGTATTTGAAACATAGTTCTTGGCTCTATATAGTTGAGTATACACTACTGTACGTAGACAACTGTCTACAACAACATATGGATACAGTATCGACAAAATGGCTGGGCTAGCGTGTTGTTCCAACCAACAAGTAGTAAGTGTTTATATCAGTTTACTGTTTTTTATTCTTCTTCTTAGAGTGCCGTCTCCCTACGGAGGTTGGCAATCATAATGGCTATTTTTATTTTAGAACTTGCTGCTCTCAAAACAAATCAATCGATCTGCATTGATATTAATCACGTAGATTCTTTAACAATGAGCTCTGCCTTCGGCCAACAGATCTTCTTCCTTAAATATTTCCCTGTAATATGGGTCTCAAAATTTCATATTTTGGTCCCCTCATCACGTAACTTAGGTATTCCAGTTTTCTGGTTTGTATAGTGGTGATTAGTTCTGTTTCTTTATTAATCCTCTCCAGTACTTCTTTATTTTTAATTCTATCAGTCCATGATTCTTTTAATACTTTTTAAATTACATTTTTTTAATGTCCAAGTCTCAGTTCCATTTAATAACATTGAAAATATACAGCAGCGAATGGTACGTAGTCTGATCTCCAAATTTAGATTTTTGCACGTTCGAAGTGGCTTCATTCGTATAAATGCTGATCTGACAATCTCTATTCGCCTATAAATTTCTAGAGTATGATCATTGGCTTCATTGATCAAAGTTCCCAAGTACTGATATTTTTCTACTTGTTCTATCACGTTACCATTGATTGTCAATAGGTCATGTATATTTTGTGGTCTTTTTGTAATTAGCATGTACTTTGTTTTTTTAGCGTTTATAGTAATTCCCATCTCAGCACTATTCATACTTTCAATAAGATGTTATAGCTTTCAATAATATGTTGTATATCCTCTATACTCGTTGCTATGATCACAGTGTCGTCTGCATATCTTAAGTTGTTAATTAATTTTCCATTAACGGTGACCCCCACTTCGATATTATTGAGCGTGTTTTGAAAAATTTCTTCAGAATATAAGTTAAACAAAAGTGGTGACAAAACACATCCCTGTCTAACTCCTCTATAGATCTTCATTTGTTCTGAGTGTTGCCCATCAATTTGAACTATGGTACTTTGGTTCTAATATAATGTTAGCACTATATTATTTTACTTTCAATGCGCTTGTTCATAAGTATTGATATTTTTATTCTTTTTCTTTAAGTTCCATCTTCTATCGAAGGTTGGAAATCATTATGGCTATGCGGACTCTGTTTACTGCCACTCTAAAAAGTTCTGCACTACTGCATTCAAACCATTCCCTTAAGTTCTTAAGCCAGGATATTCTTCGTCTTTCCACATTTCGCTTTCCTCGGATTTTGCCCTGCATAATAAGTTGTAATAATGCGTATTTTTGCCCTCTCATCACATGTCCCAAGTACTCAAGTTTTCGTCTTTTAATAGTTAATATTATTTCCGCCTCATTTCCTATCCTTCTAGTTACTTCCATATTTGACATTCTTTGAATCCATGATATTCGTAGGATTCTTCTGTAACACCAAAATTCAAAGGCGGCCAACTTATTCAGATGAACTTGTTTTAGTGTCCAAGCTTCCAAACCATAAAGAAGAGTAGAGAACACGTAACATCGACGCATTCTCAGGCGTAGTTCTAACCTAAGTTTAATAAATGATGTACGTGCTATTTCAATGCGTGTCTTAATTTCTTTGGTTTGGTCTACATCTGATGTTATCCACGTTCCTAAGTATTTATAGTTATTAACACTCTCAATTGCAGTATCTTCAATAGTCAATTGGATATTTGCATGTGCAGATTTAGTCATGATCATGCATTTAGTTTTCTTTAAACTTATCTTCAGTCCGTACTCATGACAGCGTTCATTATGGCATTGCATTACGTTCTGTAAATCATTGTTGTTATCCGTAATTATTACTGTATCGTCTGCAAAACGTAAGTTATTCAAAACTTCTTCATTGATAGATGTACCTTCTATTGAGTCTGAGAGCGCTTCTTGAAATACCGCTTCACTGTAGACATTGAAAAGTAGTGGGATCAGCACGCAACCCTGGCGGACTATATTTTTATTATTAGGTGCTAATTGTTTGAAAACTTATTTTTAAAGCATTATTATACTGTTTAGGTGTAAAGAAATTTTTTCAGCAAATCGAATAAAAACTTTTTGTATTGTATAGTATACACCGCCCAATATGGTATAATTGACATAATTTTTTTTTCAGACTAAAAAAAAAGAATTGATAAAATAATGGCTCTTTTGCCTCCAGTTAGAGGCAAAGAGGTATTATTTTGTAGTTTTTTAAAAGAATTCACAGAAGACACATAAAGACACAGATGTTAAAGAAAATATAACTTCTGAAGACGATATAGAAGAAGCTGTGGAAATATTACCTGTTTCAGTCAGCAAACGAAGACTTGCAGCAGCTACTCTCTCAGTAGTGCCACAATCTTCCCCAGTAGTCCAAAAAGAAACAAGTTCTTTAATAAAACGAAAACGAAAAAAAAGAACCTTCATTCAACTGGACGACTGATGATTTTTGTATATGAGGTAAAAACAGTCAAAATAGAAACTGAAACATCACAAGCAATAGAAATACGTAGAGGAGTACGACAGGGTTGCATTTTGTCACCTCTGTTATTTAATGTATATAGTGAAAGCATCTGTCAGGAAGCCCTTTTACAAGCAAACGGAGGAATCGTAATTAATGGAGAGATTGTAAATAATATTCGATACGCGGACGACACTGTACTAGTTGCAAGAACAGTAGAAGAATTACAAAGATTACTTACAGACATAAATATTGCTTGCAACAATTATGGTATAAATATCAATATTAAAAAAACCAAGTATATGGTCTTCAGTAAAAACATGACACAACCAGCGTATATTAGTATAAACGGCACTCAAGTTGAAAAAGTATCAAACTACAAATACTTGGGAACTTTAATAAACGAAACTGGAGACCAAAACAGTGAAATAAAAAGACGTATCGAAATTGCCAGGGCCACCTTCATAAAGATGAGAAAATTCTTCTGCAACAGAAATATAAGCATCCCTCTACGATTAAGAATGCTGAGAGGCTATGTATTTAACACGCTATTATACGGTGTAGAGGCCTGGACTCTCAAACAGAACAACATGAAAAATATTGAAAGTTTCGAGATGTGGTGCTACCGTCGAATGCTGAAGATTAGTTGGGTTGAAAGAATAACAACCTGTGAAGTAATACGAAGAATAGGAAAAGACCCAGAGATTTTGTTAACGCTAAAGCGAAGAAAACTCGAATATTTTGGTCACCAGATGAGAGGACATAAATACGCATTACTTCAAAATATAATGCAGGGAAAAATAGAAGGAAAACGGAATCCAGGCCGTAGAAGAATGTCATGGTTGCGGAATTTGAAAGAGTGGTTTGGCTGCACCACTAATGAACTCTTTAGGTCAGCCGTAAACAAGGTCAGAATAGCCTTGATGATTTCCAATCTCCGATAGGAGTGGCACAAAAAGAAGAAGAACAACAGAACAAAGTAATGATTTTACAAGACCCCAAAATATAAAAACAACTGCAGTATTTTAAAACCTTTTTTAGACCAGATATTGTTGAATTAATCATATAACAAACTAACCTGCATTCGACACAAATATTTCGTAAATGTGTAGATACAAGTATAGATGAGATGTACGATTTCCTAGCCATCGAAATTTTAATAGGGATTGTTGACATGCCGGCGTACACGGACTATTGGTCTCAAGAGACACTATGAACTTATTGTAAATGTAATGTCACTAGAGAAGTATCAAGCAATGCGAAGCAGCCTACATTTTGTCAACAATGAGGAGTTGAATAATGACAGATATTTTAAAATAGGGTCTATTTTAGATTGTATTTAGTGGATGAGATGATAGTCCCATACAAAGGGGAAAATGCAGGCTCGAGAAGACAATATGTGAAGAACAAACCAAAAAAATCGGGTTTTAAAATGTTTATTCATTGTGGCATATCGGGGATAGTCTATGATTTCTTTTCCTATGAAGGAAACGATACCTTTATACACTATAGTTTTACAGATGTGGAAAATAACGTGTGATTTGGGGCAAAATGTGTTTTAGCAATATGTTCAACAATCGAGAATAAACCTTTATCGACGGCTTATTTCGATAATTATTTTACAAGTTTAAAACTTATTACCATTAAACAATATGATATTAAACATATCTTTGAAGTAAATTTCCGTCTTTTCCGAATTTTCCGTTCTTTTATATGGCGTGGAGTCATGGACCTTAACTGAAGCATCACTGAAGAGACTCGAAGCATTTGAGATGTGGTGCTATAGACGCATGTTGAAGATTTCCTGGATAGACAGAATTACCAACGAAGAAGTAATACATAAAAAGGGTAAAGACCGCGAGGTAGTCGTAATCATAAAACGTCGCAAACTCGAATACCTGGGCCATATAATGCGCAATGAACAACGATATGACCTACTTCGGACCATACTTCAAAGTAAGGTGCATGGGAAAAGAGGTCCAGGACGGAGAAGAATATCCTGGCTGCATAACCTGCGAAAATGGTTTAACTTAACCACTACCGGACCTTTCAGGGCAGCAGTCAACAAAGTTAGAATAGCCATGTTAGTGTCCAATATCCGTAACGGATAGGCACCATAAGAAGAAGAAGTGAACTTGGAATACTTTCTTTAGTATTTTGATTTTGATAAGAAAATGAAAGAAGATGGGAGAGGTTCTTTTGACCAAAGCCTAGACAATGATGGTCGCATTGTCTTCGTAAAGTGGTACGATAACAAGTCTGTAATCTTATGTAGTATGATTTTTTTTAATAGTCTTAAGATTTCTGTAGGTATTTAATCTGGTCC